ACAGAAACAGAAAATGTCATACACTTTCTCCTAACCATTTTACTATACCTTTGTAGGCAGGGATCAACAGTGAAGAGGAACACAATAATGCCAAACACATCTTGCTCGAGATGGGAGAGTTTTTCCAAATACAGGTAATTAATTTCACGCCTTCTTTCACGTCACATATTGGGTAATATGCTGCAGAATGTACCAAGTGTCAGGGTATGTGGTAAGTAGGGGTGGACCCAAAATGCAGCCAACACTTGGGAGATGGTGCAGACAGGTTTATTAAACAAAAGAACTTAAAAAACAAGCACAGGCAACCAGAAGGAACAGCAGGCCAAAACACGAGAAGCACAGGGGATGACAACAGGCAACATGAACAGACTAAGGACAAACCGGACATGAACAGCTTGGGGACGAACCAGACATGAACAGGCAACGCGACCAGATGATGACAAACCCAGAGATAAACAGACGAACCGACACAGACAAAGGGGAGCACAAAGACTATAGACACAGGAGGCAAGGGTGATTGCACACAGGTGAAACACATTAGGGCGGGGCAGACAATCACCACACAGAAACAGGACCAAGACAGGAAGCAAAAACACTGACACACAAGGAATCCAATTACAAAATAAAACAGGTAGTGCGAAAAGTCCAAACAAAACGAACAAAAGGTGTCTGCCATAGCAAACCATGACACCAAGTTAATAACCATCCCATGTATGTCATTTACAGGATGACTACCTTGACTGTTATGGTGACCCTGCTGTGACAGGAAAGATTGGTACAGACATCCAGGACAACAAATGCAGCTGGCTGGTAGTGACAGCCATGGAAATCATGACTCCAGAACAGAGAGCAGAGCTGGAGGTGGGACTAACAACCCTTTCGATTTAAACACTTAAAGATATGCTTTGATATTATGTGGCTGAGTTGCAAAGATTCTGTGGCTCAAATATATTCAGATAAACTAAAGAAGTACACTAAACTGTATGGCAGCTGATAATATTCAATCACTTGTCCAGATATACAAACAATACAAACAAAAATGCATTCAAATCTCTGCAGCAATAGAAACTTTTGTCATCAATTATTGTCTGAAATAAATGATTACGATCAAATCTGATTATTCGCTGAGACCAGGGCGCCCTTGTTTTTATCCTTTGACTCCTCCATGTTTCTGATGGCTACCCTCTGAAAGAAAGATAGTACAGTCACTCACTAGCATGTTCATTTTCATCTCCTCCTCAGGCATGTTACGGGCGCCACGATGAAGCCAAGGTAGAAAAGGTCAAAGCGCTGTACAACACCCTGCAAATGCCAACACTGTACCACAAATATGAAGATGAGAGCTACCAGCGGCTACAGAAACTCATCGCCTGTCACGCTCAAAACCTTCCTCACTTAGTCTTCCTCAACTTTGCCAAGAAAATCTACAAGAGGAACAAGTGAGAGGGAATGATGAATGATTGGAAGTTATACAAACAGTGTCAGGTGCATCAGCCTGGTTCACTTTTGACTCTTATCATGATGCACAAATGAACACCTCTCGAGATAAAGAGAGTTGGCCAGGGGCTCTCACCCAAACAGGACTGTGACATTTCAAAGTCCTGCTGGCAGTTTCTTAGCTTTTCAGTGATTTGTAGATATCTTTGATGTCTTTTAAGTTCTATTTATTGAAGCCAGTGCATAATGTACAGTGTAACCAGTCATTTATACGATAGGATAAATGACTCCGGATGACTCCGGGCGGACTCACATGTGGATTGATCTAGTTTTCATGTTTATCTGCTTTGGGGAAATGCTTGGCAAGATGAAGATACACATTAAATAATATAGCAAAATGGTTTAGTGATGGAAGAATAGATTTATTAACTGATAATAAACTAAAAGGGATAGTACAGATATGACAGGAGATGTATCCTGACTACGGACAGAGGTTCAAGCCTGATCAGCTGTGTTAATTCCATTTATTTTTATATTGCTCCTGGATGTTATTGCTTTTAATAAAAAATATATGTCCAGTATTTTTCTGTCTTTTTCATCTTATTGTGCATGTGTGTGTGTGTATGTGTTAGCTAAAATGTAAGCTAAAGGGTTAAAATTAGCTAAAACGTTTGCATAATTAATCAATTAGACAAAACAAAAGAAAATACTGCAACAATTTTGAGAACTGATGAATCATTTCAGTCCTTTCTTAAACAAAACTGCAATTAATTCTCTGCTTTAGGATTCTCAAATGTGATGATTTGATTCTTTTAATTTGTCATATATGAGAGTAAATTGAATATGTTTGGGATTTGGACTTTAGGTCAGATAAAAGAAGCTATATAAAGATATTATCTTGGGCTCTAGGAAATCATAATGGGTATTCTGGCTATTTTCTGATTGACTAAATTCATCAATTTATTAAGAAAGTAATTTTAAGATTAATCACTGATTAATATAAATGGTAGCAGCAGCCCTAGCTGGCTATAGGTGAAGTTTGCATGTTAGGTAATTTCCTTAAAGACAGATTAATGAATGCATGAGTGAATTGCTAATGGGATGATTTAAGACAAATTAAAGGAAATTAGGTTCTCCCTGTTAACACTCGGGCTCAAAAAATTAATTTTGGAAAGGAGGTTAAGCTGAAAATGACTTAAGATAAATTGAATGTGATGATAAGGCAAGTAAGGGGTGTGGTTTGGTTGGCATGGGGGGTGAGGGGTGGGAACGTTGGTTTGTTGGATGCTCGCGAGAAGACGGATGCTGAGGCTGTAAACGTCGGAGAGCCTCACATTCACACGGAGGACTGGGATGCGAGAGAGCCCGACGAGATGGAGACCTTCATCCATCTTTACCTGAACCTGATCGTGAGTCGAGTGCCATTTTATTTCACTGCTGTGTTTTTATTGTATGTTTTTAAATGAGCCTGCACGGTCGGGTTCGGCTCAGCAAAACCTCCTGTTCCCACACAGAGGCTGCGTAGATCTGGAAACGTGCAATTCGGCTCTTAACTGATATTTCTGCAACGCTTTTAATGCGTGAATGTGCTACATGTTATGCATGTTGATGGGAATTCTGAATATTATGTGTAACATTTGAGTTACAATATGGGTGGATGGGCCTGTATATCAGGGCGATGCGGTTGGAGGTACCCCCTCCTCCCCCTCCTCCTCCTCCTCGCCCTCCTCCTACCCTCCCTGTCTCCATCAGCTCTGTGGGATCAATAAATGCAGGGGTAAATACTGTGCTCAGGACGGGTTAAATTACATATGATGATATGATGTTTTTTTTGTTTTATTTCAAGGCTCTTTTGTCTTTAATAGCCATTCAGACGAAGGCCCAATGTAAGCAATCACTTGAGTGATTTGTATTCCTCAGTGATGTGAAGGGCACTGTGGAGGAATATATGAGCAATAGCCTTTGGTAGATGGGCTTTAAAAGAGGCAGACTTGGAGTTGGTCAGTGCCGCTGTCTGATTATTTCATGCTCCAGTTAGATTTGCCTTATGTTCAGTCATTGCTCTAGGTATGGTGTTTTTTTTTTTTTTTTTATAAAAAGCAAAACGTCATTTCTTTTTGATCTAGATCTTGCTGCCTCTTGTCTGCCTGTAAGGATGGACATGGCACAGATGGAGACAGCTTGACTACTGTAAACTCATGAATATCAGAGCTCAGTGAAGCTGAACAGAACAGATGAAGACGATGAGTGACATTTATTAGGCTACAAACTAGCTGATGATTATTATCATGGGGGACCATTTCATGTGATATGTATGTGTGTGGGTGTTTGACTTTGAATAGATACTGTATATAACACCTGGAAACCAAGAAGCACAACAAGGTGGACACATACATTGAAAAAAAAAAACTGCATACAAATGAAGCAGCTCTTCTCTTATGTACATACAATTATTTATTTACTGAACTATTGCAAAACCAAATTACTGTAGCATCTCAATGCTGTCCCCAAAATGGTGCTTCAAAATTTTGAATTCAATTACACATATTTTTATAATTATCATTAAATGTCTTGTTATGTGCATGCAACAGTCCAAAATCCAAAGATACTCAGTTTACTTTGATAAAATGCCATGAAAACAATTCACAATTGAGAAGCTGGAACCAACGAACATTTGGTATTTTTGCAACTTTTAGCAATTATTCAATTATTCTCATTACACACAATTGATTATGAGAATAGTTGTTGGTTAATTTTCTGTTGATTTATTAATTGACTAATCATTTCAGGTCTAATTACTTTCCTTGAGTGGTGATGCCTGAAGATGTGTTTTTTTTGTTTTTTTTTTTTACAGGAATGTGTTTGAAACAGTGTGTGCGTTCGTATCACCGCTGTGTCCTCCCAGGACTTGGGCTGTGATAATTATAAAACGGAAAGCCTAAAAGCAATTGGGTTTTAATGAATTGTCCAGACGATGGATTTTTAACTTCAAAGACTTAGCCTAATATAAAAACATCGTAGAGCAAGAAAATGGTCTTTGATGAGCAGAGTTTGCTCATAGTCGTTCACTGTGTGTCTCCTTTGATGTTACAGGATCTTGGGAGTGAAGCCAAGATGTGACCGTCACGGCGCGTCATTGTTTGGATCCCTCCAGCCTTTACAACACTTGTTTCTATAGCAACAGATATATCACAGTATCCTAAAAAGTCCCATTTCCACAATGCAGTCCTCTAGCAGTTCCTCTCAGCCTCCAAAGCCGCGGCGCTTTGACGTCAGCAGAAGGACCAATACCTTAGCTGCACCAAAGTCTCATGGCCCTGGTTTTCAGAGGGAGGATAAAAACATGAACACAATCACCACATCCTCCCCACGCCGGCCTACTAAAGGCCCCGCTGCACCCACCAGGACCAGGGTGGGAGTGCAGCCTCGAGCTCCAGTAAACCAGTCCAGGTTTTGCTCTCAGAAACAGGGTACCACCATCTCCAAAGCAGCTAAACCCAAACCCAAGAATGCTCGTGCATCTGCAGCAACCAAAATTGCACCTGCAGCTGCTCCGCCTCCTCCGCTTCCATCCGTTCTCCCTCTTGACCCGAATTGCAACGAGCCGAGCCTCCCGTGTCTGTGCTGCGATGGCCGCTCCCCACAGGACAACAACAGTATGTTCAACCATAACCACAATAACAACAACACCATCTCTCTCAGACAGCAGCTACAGCTTCCTCCTCCTCCGGCCCCGTTACCCCAGGGGCAGGATGGGACGGGGGCCAAGGAGCAACGTCAACCTCCATCACAAGTGCAGGCCCAGCTGGAGCCCTCTGCCTGCCCACCTGCCAGTCTGGAAAATGAAGACAAACATGCAGATGAAAGCGAGGACCTGGATAACAAGAAAAATTTAAAAGTAGAAGAAGAAGACGACGAAGAAGAGAGCAGTGGGGATATTGATATCGATGATGATGAAGAGGAGGCTGACAATGATGACGACGACGACGATGATGACACTCTGGTGCCCTCATGCTGTGACTGCCCCCCCTCCCTCCTGGAGTTCTCACTCTCCTCTTCTACCTCCTCATCCTCCACTTCCATCAGCTCCTGCTCTGATCTGGAGTCTGACTGTGCAGATCAATCCGCCTCCATCTGCTCTTCCCATGACCAAGAAAATCTCTCCGTCGCTATGTCCCCCAAAGACCATTCTCTTCCTCAAGCCCCTGAATGCCAGCCTCCTGCGCGCTCACCCCCATCCCTTCCTCTTAGTCGCAATCCCTTCTCCTTAGCATCACATTCCCCGATTCCCCCTTGCTCCCCAGATGAGGGCTACCCCTCGGCCCTGGACTCCCCTTCTCCTGATTATTTAGGAGTCAAAGGGGATTCTGAGGTCACCAAACTAGGTTTGCTCGACTTTCTAGAATCAGTAGGGGAGTTTGGGAAAATGGAGCGCTTCAGCCAGGTGATCCAAGTGGCTCGTTGGGATCTGGAGGGGGAACAGCACTGGGATGTTCTAAGGGATCGGTTAGATCACCTGGATCGCTTGGAGAAAGTCAACCGAGAGGTAAAACTGGCCTACATCGCCAAACTCCATGAGAGGGGATTTGATCTCGGAGACCTGGAGGAGCAGGACCTCTCGGATGTCATGGATGAAATGGGCAACATCGACATTCCCTGGAAATTGTATAAAAACCGCGGGGGAACGATGGGAGACTCTCAGGAGTTTTCAGATGCTGGGGTCGACCTCACCGCTCCATCAGACTGCGATGATCCCCTCGTTCCAGATTCCCTCACCCCTTCCCCCGTCGAACCGCCACCTAGGCCCCCGAAACCTCCAGCGCGTCACGCCAGCGTGAGCTCTTACCTCCACACCTACATCAATATCAGCAGGGAGACCACTTCCATGGCTGTCTCCACGTCTCCTACACTGTCTACTTTCTCCCCTAACTCATCATCCCCCACGTTCACCACTTTTAGGTGCGAGAAACCCCTACCTCCATCTCCACCATCAGTTCCTCCTCTCCCTGCCTCTAAACCGGTACCTTATCTCACCCTCTATACCACTCCTTCTCCACCTCCAGCTATCCCAACCCCAACCCCTCCCATCCCTCCCCCTCGGAAACGCCACCTTGCCAGGAAGGAGGCACAGCGGCTTGCTGCTCTTCAAGCCGAACAGGAAAAGACCCCGCTGTCCCTACCACCTCCTACCACGCGGCCACCACCTCTTCCTCCTCCACCTGTAATCTCTATCTCCACATCCCCCCCTGCCATACCACCTCCACCTGCCCTGCCTCCTCCCCCCTCCTTCCATGCCCTGGATGTAGAGATTCGGAAGTTATTGATGCTTGCAGGATTGACCCAAGCTGAGCTCCTCAAACTCAGCCCAGAGCTTGGTGTCTGTGTAGGAGGGTTAGAGGATGAGGGAGATGGAGATAATCGTCTTCCGTCTAGATCCATGGAGTCACATGAGTTCAGACTACAAGACAGGGAGGAGGAGAAGGAATTTGACACCGAATTCGTGGCTAGAGGTGGATGCAGCAGCAGAGGAAAGTTGGATGGAGATCAAAGAGTAGATATTGCTGAAGAAGGCAAAACGAGAGAGGAGAGCAAAGACACACAAAGGACCACCTCCTTCACAGAGATGGCAAGAAGAAGGAAGAGGAACGGTGGTGTGACTTCCGACCATTACTACAGCACTGGTCTTAGCAATACACAAGAGACTAAAGCACAGAGCATGAGCTTTGAGACTTTCCATTATCCTCCTGAGTTACCAGATTCACCTCCCCCTCCTCCTCCTCCTCGCCCCTTACCACCAATCCCCCCGTCTTTGCCACCCCTCAAAGTCAGCACTCTCCCTGCCAACTCTGCACAACCTGAGCGATTTGACTGGCTCATAGCGTTCACACCTGATTGTGACGCCCCGCCACAGCCTCTGGCCCTGGAAATGAGAAGATCTCACATGGAAACCCAAAAGAAGCCCAGTTCGTCAGGGTCATCTCCAGGGTCAGCGCCAAAGGTCACAACCTTCAAAGAGCTGCGTTTCCGCAACAAGAGCACTTGCCCCCAAACAAAGGTGATCACTGACCCAGACCCTGACCCCACAGTCATCACTCCAGATGCAGATATACTGTACAACCTGAAGTGGAGGAGAGAGAAGGCAGGCACCGATGGCAACCAGTGGGAATACACCTCTCAGGCTCAGGCCCTGTTCATGCAGCCGCCGCCGGCTCTCACCTCAATGGCTGCTCTGAAGGAAATGCTCAAGAGAGCTGACGAGGAGGGCGGTCAACCAGAGCTGTGCCCATCACAGAAGATTGGCTGCTCAGTCAGTGACAGCAGCCTGTGGACCATGGGCAGAGAGTGGGAGGGTGAGGAAGTTAAGAGGGAGGAAAAGGAAGGGAAGGAAGAAGAAAAAGAGGAGGAGGTGGAGGTGAGAGGACGTGCCGATGGAGGAAGGACTTTTCAGTCAAGAACTACAGGTGAGTATGAATTCCATGATAATGCTAATAATGACAAAGATCTTCGTTCGTGTATGTGCATTTTTGTGTGTGTGTGTGAAAGAAAATAAATACATCAGAGTAACTTAGTGTAACTCAGTGGACGACATGACCAACCTGAGATGGGCAGATGATGAGAAACAGATGGAGAAAGACAGTCAGCGTGTTAACTTTCTCAGTGGAGCACAAATAACATGCTTGGACAGAACAGTAGAAGGAAATAGAAAACCAAGGGAGATGAAAATGTAGACTCATTTATGGACATGATAAATGGAATGAGAGCGAAGAGATGGAGGACGAGCATGAGTCACAGAAAAGGATGATGCGTGATGATGTGATGGATAAATGATGACGAGGGATAAACAGAGGGTGATTTCAGATGGAGGAGGCAAGTAAGACAATAGAGGCAGGAGAAGAAGAAGTATGAACAAGAGGGAGAGATGGAGGGATAAAGACAGGGAGTGGGGTGGAGGTAATATGAGGAGAAAGGGGAGGTTGGAAACTTTCCAGCCAGTATTTCCTGTACTGGTTATCAGAGTGTGATGTCACCACTGCCTTATTCAATTATTCATCCACTCTTCAGACCAAGGGGAGGGGGATAATGGAGGCCCCGCTGAGCTCACTACCTTTCTCTTTCTCCTTTCTCCCTCCAACTCTCAGCTCACATCTCTCTTGTTTTATCTTTCTGTCTGTAAAATTCTATTCCCAATCTTTTTCCCCTTTGCAGTAGTTTTAAATCCCATCAGCTTTGGATGTTTACATGCTTTTCTCTTGCTGTCTATCCTGTCTCCTCACCATCCCCCCACCTGCTCCCCAGAGTGGCACAGATAGCTCAGATCAAGTTACCCATCTCAGGCAGTGCTGCAGTAGGCCACATAGAAATTAAGGATTAGATTGGCAACATCTAGCTACAGTAGGCTGTAGGTTCATTTTAAAAATCGGCTGTTAATGTTATTAGTGTAATAATTTCTGTGACATTTATGTCATTACTTTATTGTCATTATTTCACAAATTTCCCTGTGTATTCTAATGATCAGATTAATGAAAGTTATGTGCTGTGGAAGTTTCCCCCATATCACTGCATTGAGGTGTGGTGGCCATGGCATCAGTAGGTGTGTACACCTTTAAGAGCCAGAGGGGTGGATCTTAGTACATGGACCAATGGCTGAGAGCCAGTGTAGGGGAAAAATAGGAAGTATCATGTGTTGGTTACAGTTCAAAGACAGCCCAAGTCTAACCAAGGTATGGTTGCTTTCTAGCTCATTTTATAGCCCACAACTTAGCAGTCTGTCACAGGTAATTGAGTGTAATGAAAACTGTGTTGCCATAGTCTCTGAAGCAGAGACAGAGACAGTCACAGTGATTGAGCAGGAACGGGCAGAACTCTGTTATCTGTTGACTGACTCAGCATTACACTGTATGCTGTACCGGTGGAGAGGGGAGGGGTAGCGGGGAAGGAGCTAGAGAGAGATAGAAAACAAAGGCAGAGAACAGGAAGTGAGAGAGAAGGTGATCCAGAGGTGATGATGGCATGCACTGCAGTAAAGTATGAAACATTTAGCGTAAGGATTGGCACCCACTGTGGTGTCTTATACTTGATATTCATAACTGCATGTTATGTTATGAAATAGAAAGTGAAACCAGATGCTTTAAACAAAACCTGGATTGTTAACCTATGATAACCCTTGGATTAATAGTGGCATTTTCATTATGGTGAATGAGTGTTTCTTCTATTTCTACTATGCAGCTGTTAGACTGCTCATGAGTTATTCTTGCAGTAGTATCATTTCCTGTTGTGTCAAACCCTTCTAAGCGAAAGACTGTCGTTATTGCCCTTCATAAATCAGCTCCATTGACTCTCATACACTGTCAATTTGTAACTGTCAATCAACTATTTTACTTGTCAAGAAACTGCATTACTGCATGATGTTACATGATGATGATTTCTGCTGGAATACATTCATGAATGTGCATTTTTCTCTCGACTGACACTAACATTTTCTGCATCTCTCTCTCCTTCCCATTTCTTTGCCACATTTTTTATTACTTTACTCTTCTTTATTTTCCTCACCTTTCCATCCCATTCTGTTGTTTCCATTGTTTGTCCATGGTTCCGCTTCGCTCCCTCATATTACTCTGCTTGTGCGCCTGCCCTCTCCATTTGGACTGCTGCACCTTACAATTTTTGGCCTTTTGACCCTTCCCTATAAGCAGTTTCCTCACCCCCACTCTCCCTCGCCCAGTCCTCCCAACCCTACTTCCTCCACACTGCCCTCCCTTCCTTTCGCAGAGGCTACTGTAACTCCCAACCCTTTGCAGATCCAAGGCCCCACAACCATGTAGGCAGGGAGTCTACAGACAAACACTGCAGCACACAGTGGACCCCTGCTGCCAGCTCAGCTTGTATCCACAGAGATGATTCCAGCACTGATTTAAGCTGTGGGTTTAACTGCGATTCCCTGGCTGATCTCAGTGTAGACTCTCCTCGTGATTATGGGAATATCTCTAAGCAAAACACACTCTCGGCATACCAATCTATCAGCGATTCCAAAACTAACGACAGGGAGTTTGTGTCTGACTCCATTTGTAAGTTTGACTCTCTCTACCGCAGTGACTCAGAGAAGAAGCATGACACAGACATTAAGTCAGATACACCTGTTAGTGGCACCACTGAGGCACCAGGTTGCACCACTCCATATAAGAACATAGATGTCATGATGACACATTCAAACAGCATCAGTGCTAAGGATTCCCTGTATTCAGAAAAGTGCACACACTCAAACACTGACCACAACAGCAACAAGGCCAGGACATCCAAAGAACTTCCTCCTCTCCCCACTTATTACCTGTACCACCCTAAGAACTGCCCTCTGCACAGGGGTGCCCCTCCACGCCTCTCCCCTATCGGAGCCCTCTCCCCTCCCCACCGCCCCGGAGTGCCCCCCTCAGGCGCAGCAGGCTCCTGCCTCAGCTCCCCGCTTTTCCCCCGCTCGCACACCTTGCCTGCCCTTGCTGCTCCCCTCTACTATCCAAACCTCTACCCTCCTATACCGCCCAGGGCGCCCCCCCTACCCCCAAAACTCAACCAGGCTCCTCCGCAGTCACGCGTGGCGAGTAAGATTTCTCTCTCTCTTCTCCCTCCCTACATCTTACACTCTATCTCTTTGTCTGACATCTAGCTTGCATGCGTGTCTGTCTGTCTCTTTTACTGTCTGTTTCTGTCTTTGTTCTCTGCTCTGGATGTGGTTGCCCTCACACTTTTGTCACTTTTTCAACCTGGGGGATTTGCAGATTTGAAAGAACTGGGTAACTCTAGCTGCTTTATGTATCAGAAGCCTGCTCCCTGCAGGTCATCTGATACGTCTTATCTACACTGTCCTTTCAAATTTGCAAAAGGCCTTCAGAAGGGTAACAGCTGTTCTTGTTAGAGGTTGTCTAGAGTCACACTCATCACTCTCTCTTTGTCCGCTTTCTCCGCTATCTGTCTGTCCTTGTGTCCGTCTCGTCTTGTCTGTCTCCATGTTGTTGCACGCTGTGTGTGAAATTGACACATACATTTCATGCAAAGCACAACCCAAGTAGCTGGTTGGTGGTGTTGTAATGTAAAAAAAAAAAAAATTGAGGCCCACCGCATCTTGTTCATTATATGAATGTTTGCATCTATGTAACTGGTTTATATAACTCCATTTATATAAACATGAGTATGTATACAACAACCACCCTTTGCACATGTGTTATTGTATCTGAACTGATTCTTGTGGTACCTCAGTTGTTTCCCTTCTTGCTCAGCAGTTCTTCCTATGTATGCTTACGCTTATACTAAGTATGCGTGAGTGTTAGTGTGAGTGTATCTGTGGGAGTGAAGGTTAATGCATGGGATCCTGATGCAGACCCTGATGCAGACAAGAAGTTGTCTTCACAGATCCAGATGTTGAACGCTCACCACAGTGAAACAGTATTTGCAGAATGTGTTCACACACTGTTTGTTGTCAGTCGTACCATCTGCTTCTATCTGCCTTTATCCAATGCTTCTCCACTGCTTAATTGCTCTTACTAACAACATTGATATTTCAGTTACGGCATTTCTGTCTGTGGTGATTCATTTTGCTTATGTTGAATTTGTTTGTTTGTTTTTTTTTTAATTTTTTTTATAAACATTTGTACACTTAGTAATTGCGCTTTCACTGTCGCTGTCAGCTGTTCGCAGTGTCTCATTCGCTGGCTCCGTACAGAGGGGAGAGACGTCCTGGATGGGCGAAGATGTGAAGTTTCCAATGAGAGGTCTCGGCCTGTCCTCTCTGTGTCTGCAGGAGAAGAAAGGTGTGGGTTGTCCCCTGCCCAGCTGTGCATCGTTGTCTTTGACTCAACCAATGCTTTCTGTGTTTAACTGTAGACCATTGTTCTTCTTCCAGCTCTGGTCAGTGCGGTCAGTGTGGCGGTGGAAGCCATTTTGGCCCAGTTCAGCTCTTCTCGGACTGTAGTTCAGAAGGTCAGTCACCGCTGAATTTCCATCATTACGGATATTTCTTTTCTGTTTGAATGACTAAATTTTGTTGTTTTTGTTTGTTTCATGTGAAGAAGTTCTTCGTCCCAACAGATGTCATTCTTAATTACATATTATCAATGTCTTTATATCTAGAAAAAATGTCATGTTGTGATAAATGTCTTGTTTATCGCTGAAAATGATTTCCCTCCCTTTCTTCTTGTTCTGACTCCACATGTTTTGTTCCGTCTCTCTTCAGTCTCTCTCAGTTAACAAGGTACTAGAATATCTTTAGATAACCCAGTCTCGTAGATGCAATAATTTCTTTGTAAACTAACTCCAAACTCCCGTCCCAAATCACCTCTCATCACATCATACCAACCCTCATCGCCCCGTTTCTCTCAACCCCTATGTATGTGTCCCATTTTCCTTCCCTCCTTGTCTTGAGTCATCCTTTCTGATCTCTTCCCCTGTCTCTTCGTATCACTGCACATCTTTTTCCTCACCCTGTCCCATTTCACCCCCACCATGCGTTCCTCCCATGCTCCTCATTCCTCTCCTCTCCTCTCCTCCCCTCTCCTCTCCTCCCTTCTCCTCTCCTCTCCTCTCAGGCCTTATCAGGAGACAGCACTATAAATCCATCTCTGGGCCGTCTGGTGCTGCAGTGCCTCTGCCCCGCCCTGCACAGCTTGCTGACCGATGGCTTAAAACCCCACCAGAGTGACCTGATTGCAGGCAGGAGGCCAAACTCTGCCTGGGGCCTGGTCCAAGCTTCCACCAAGCCAGGTAGCATAGCAAGGATCATAGAAAAATGAACTTATTTAGACTTGGATAAGATTAAGATTTGGATGTTAGGAGGTAATTTCTGTGGGTTTTATTTCCTGGTAGATAATAATAAACTCATGACTTTGTCTGTTTGTCCACACATCACTCAATACTTGTTGATTTTAGTGTCTAAAATGCTGAATAAAGTGAACAGCAGGATGCAGATATTGATTTGCCTGTGAGTGCCAAGCATCATTGCAATTTTTCACTAAACTCTATAAGTTCCTCCGTTGAGTCCTTTCTCTGTCTGCACCTCTTCACGTGTATTTTCTCCTCTTCCTCTCAACCCATTTTTCAAGGTCCTAGAACGCAAGCCTTGTTCAATCTACAAGCTCGAGTCGGGGAGCTTCCCCAGCTCAGACAGAGCAAACACAGGTTCAATGCGTTCCTCCTTGGCCTACTGAAGTAAGTATTCCTCTCTAGTCTCCACTGGTAGCACAAATCAATAGTTAAAAAATACAAAAATAATTTTTCCACTCTATTTTGAATTCATTGCAGATTTCCTCTTTGTATTCTCAGTTTTCTTCTTCTCTCTATTTTTTCTTCCAGTACCAAGTCTCTTGACTTCTGGCTGTCTCACCTTCAGTCCTGCAGTGGTAAGTTTCCTTCACTTCCATGTGGTGACTGTTTTGAACGTGAATTTGAGCAACAGTGATTTCTTCTTTTCTCAGATGTGTTGGAGACATACTACCGTCCCACCTCCTTTATGCGTCTGTCCCTGACCACCTGCCAGCCTCTGTTCGAGGAGCTGCTGCTCGTGTTGCAGCCTCTCAGCCTGTTGACCTTCAACCTCGACCTGCTTTTCCAGCACCACCATTTGGAGCCAGACAGTCACAGCCCAGAGATCCCCAGTCCGCCCTGTCAGGATGCAGGGTTCCAGAAGTCCACAAAGGGGTCCCAATCCAAAATCACAGGCAGCAGATATATGGAAAGCCTCTCAGAATTAGACTTTGGAAGCCCGGAACGTCAGGCAGCTAAAGAAAAACCCTCAACATTAGCTGATCCAAAGAACGGAGGATCAGGGGAGTCGACACAACTCGGTGCTGCTCCCATAAAGGCTTCGGTCTCTCTCGGTCAGACAAGTCCTCAGCTGTTGTGGGTGCAGGAGAAGGAAATTGGAGAGTTACCTCCTCCTGATGTTGAGGAGGACAGCCTTGCTCAGCAGGCAGGACAGGTAGCCACTTCTGTGTGACTGTTCAGTATTTGTAATCATTTATGATTGTGTGATCCTGCAGGGCTGACATGTGGTTCTTTTTTTAAATCACAGGTGATCCAACAGGGTTGGGGGGCGGTGATGCGCTGGGGAGGTCGATTTAGCCAGAACCTGGCTGAGCTGAGCCTGTCTGCAGGGAAGAAGGAGGAAATGAAGACAGATTTGCCAGACCTCCAGACCCAGACAGGAAGTGACTACACTCCGGTTAGCAGTGGTGGTCAGGTTCCCTGGGGTTTTGGTCGGCTGTTTGGAGCCTCTAAAAGCCCCAACAGCCCAACAGGTCACACACCGCCAACCAGGTTAGTCAATGAATGTGTAGCATGCTGACCTGCTGTGATATACAGTACAATACAGCAGCTGATTTCAACGATTAGTATACCTTCAGCCAAATAATGAATAAATTAAATCAGCTACTGCTGATTGAAACTTGAAACTATTCAACCTCACAAATAACCTGCATGAATAGTCTGTTTGTGATTTCCCCGCTTTTTTTGTATTCTATACCTCTCCAGGCGTCCCTCTCAGTGGTTGGCTCCTGGTGTTACGGCACTGACCAGAATGGTGAGCAGCAGCTCCACCCCGATGATGAGGAGGGCCGCGGAGCCTCAGGGAGAAAGTGAGCCAGAGTCAGACAAAGAGGTCGACACACTGGAGATGAAGGACAAACCCCGACCACTCAGGTACAGGAGAAATGAAATGATGGAGATGGTGATATGAAGGATGGATTTTTGCATTTTTATTGGCTGAGACAGAATGAAATTGGGTGGGAAGTAATAGATCAGGCCGGGTCTGTCCTTCAATCCATCATGCCTTCTTCTTTCTAGTTGTGGCATGATTTGTCCATTTTAAAATGACTTCTTTGTCACATCAGGAGCACCAGTTGGTGTAAGGGACACTAGAGACTGGTTATCATTTTTGCCTTTGAAAGACTATAATTGGTGACTCACCAGTCTGATTTTGAGTGATCCTGCACTGTGACTCATACAAGATTGGATTACATCATAAGCCGGAAAAAAATAGTTGGTGTATCATGTAGACCATTTTGTCTGAGAGAGTCTCTGCTGTCTGTTCTCAGGTCAGTACGAACGCTGTGCGACCACACAGGGGCGGGTTCGGAGCTCAGCTTCTGCAAAGGCGAGGAACTCGTGGTGTTAGGAGGCGTCGACCAAGACTGGATTCGCTGTCGTCAGGGAGACAAAGAGGGGCTGGTACCTATTGGCTACACGTCCCTCATCATATGACTTCGGCACCACAACTGCTGCACTCAATCAATAAAAAAAATAAAATAAAAATATATATATATTTTAGGCGAGTATTGAGAGGTGATGGTGAGGCACCTCTACTCTGAAAGGGATATTTCACACTTGCTTGGTTAGAGTTTGAGTTGAGTTCAAACGCCATCTGTTATGCTTTACGTTCATCAGGAGCAGTCTGCAGCCCTCTCCCTTTATGAACATATGGGAGGCCCCCCCCCCCCATCACAATCCATCCAGTCTGGTAGCATTCAACTAATGGATTTTAGCAGCAGGAATGCAGCAGATGGTGTGAAATAATGACTCAAGTCAAATTTAGACCATTTCACACTGGAAGACCTTTGATCTCGGAGTGAAGTATCCCTTTAAATGCCCCTTTCTCAGTTTCGGCCTTCCTCGCCTTCAGCCACTGATCTGAGAAAAAATGATCACAGGGGAAATTCTGTGCAATCAACCACTAGCAGATTCAAGTGGTGTCAGATCAGCGGCTGCCTGTCGTGAGGAGGCGACAGTCGACAGCCTGGTAGTAACCGCGTAAATATCTCTTTTCGTCAGCCGCAGAGAGTCGTGGTTCGCAGGCTGTCGAGGGGAGAGAGCATGTCAGAGTACTGGGCCGTAGCTCCTGTTGCATACTGCGTAGTAATGTAGTGAATTGTAGCTGTGTAGATCTGTGTTCTATTGCCCTTTCACCCCTCTTGACTTCTCACCTTTATCGCCTGGTTCATGTGTGTTTTGACATGTTTCTGCTACTATATTTGACTGTATAAATATACATAAAAAAAAGAATATATATATATATATAAATATATATAGATACATAAATTGAGATTGTTATTACCAAGATAGATAGAAAAGATAGATGAGCAAGAGAAAGCAGGTAGTGAAACACAAGCAGCAGCTTAATACCGTGGCCACATAGAAGAAGTGGATGATTAATAATGAATGGATTAATTCTTTGTCTTCACATCTGCAACTTTCCACACACATTAAGTGGTTGTCATACATGCAAAAAGAAAGGTGTATGTGTTTGTTTTAAGTATGAAATCCAGTATCTTCCCTCTTGTGTGCTTTATGTATTGCCATTACCTTGACATCATATTCATCAAATAATTAGACATAGTGTTATTCATACCGTTAAACACTGTATGCATTGCAATGTGCCATGAATGCTTCGAATTAATGCCAGAAAATATCTTTCTGTCCCGACACAGTTATAGAGGATAGTATCAGACAACAGCAATCTGTAGCTAAGCTCTCCACTCGTCCAAAACCTCACAGGGCCAACGTGGGTCACAAAACTATGCTCAGCTCTTGTTCAACACTATCTGAACTTAAAATTATATGAGAAAATCCATGATGTATGTAATTCATAACTGCTACTGTAAAGTCTGTAGGTTTGGTGGCTGGTCTTCACCTTGTACCTCAGCTTTTGTATTTAACTTTTACCCCTTCCTGCCATGTTTGCTGATCATAATCATTGGTATTAATGATAGTGGTAGTAGAAGTGGTAGTGGTGGAAGTGATATGTTGATTCTAATGTTGCTCATATGAAATATGTTGCTTTGTGTCATAGATTTATTAGTTATTCTCTAGATTCTGTATTTATGACTATGCATATGGATAAATGTACAACTAAAATCCTTTTTTTGTTTGTTTTACAAAGCCATGATTATAATTTAATGTTCTCATGCAAGTTGCCACCTTAAGGCCTAAAGTAATATCTTAAATAGTTTAAAGTGAAAATAAGAGTCTGGTTAAAAAAAAAAAAAAAAAAAAAAAAAAGACCTGACACTAAAGAGCCTCCATTGAATTCAGCAGGAATGTTTCAGTGCTATCGATCAGGGAAAGCTCAGTCCTTCAAAGGTTCCTCATGTTATTGTGTCAATGCCATGTAGCATGAGATTACTGTCACTATGGCAACAGTCGAGTAGCATTATGTTAAACCAGTGCTCATAACTTGTAACTTGTGATCACAATAAAATGCCATCAAATGGATAATACCTAGGTGTTTACAAGAAATAACGTCTAGATAAAGATAGTATATGAGTTGACACATTAAGTTGTGTTAATGCTTTTTTTCTGTTTGTTTGTGTATATTCTTTTTTCCAAAAGTGAGATTATACTCTAAATGCGTTTGTTTGAAAGCTGTTAATTTATTGGATGTACTATTTATTGATCTTGAGGTTTTTTGAAAGGAATAGCTCTCTATTTGACCCATCGGGTGTCTCTATCTATCTGGGTTCTTTGTGTGTGAGTGAGAAAGTGTGTATGTGCGTGCACATGGCAGCATATGAGGCAGTGAAAGCAGCGAAGAGTGTGAGCACATCTGTGTGTCTGCACATCCTGCACTTTCACTTATGTGTGCATGTGTGTGTTTAACAATGGGTCCTGTACCTCCCTCTCCTCCTCTCTTTCTCTCACTGGTGTCATGTAGCCTGTAGACATCCCCCTGTGTCCTACTATTGCATTTAGTTGAGTGCCCCTCTAGTGTCAGTCACTGTCCACCTCCTGCATGTGCTTGTTTGTAAATACACCAAATAAAATGATCAGTATAAACCAATCTTGCTCAGCTGTTTGAGTCATATTTTTGCATTATAGCTCTTGTAAAAAAAAAAAAGCCTTAATCAGGAGTTAATATGATATGCCACTGTAAAAAAAAAAGAAAAGAAGAAAAACTATGAGACAATTCAAAATGTTCAACATAAACGACATGTCCTGTATTTGTTGTTGACTCAAATGTGACAGGAAGCTACCTGCACGTGTCAGATTGCAAAGGAAGTGAAGGCTCTTGATTGAGCTCTCTGCAAAACACTTAATACCAAACTAAACACTCTGTCCCTTTTAAGCTCGAGCTAGGGGAATACTTCAGGAGACTCCTCTCACTTCTTTGCTCAGATCAAAAGATCCAAGGATGCCCTCGGATTGTTGTGAAGGACAGGAAGAGGAGAAATCTCCTCAATCTCCGGAGTGAGCTGCAGCCCTCCCCCATCTTGTAACCGTGTTTCTTTGATAGTGTCCTCCATTGTGGGTCATTATGGAGGACAACACAGTGTGAGATATACAATCTAACACCACTAGATAGCACTGTTAGCTCAAGCTGATTAACGTCACTGCAGTACTCCCTAAAAAACACACACGTAACAAGAGGGAGGCTTTGTAACTGATACACAGAGAGTCTGCTGGGTTTAGTACTAGTAGACATAAAATGCTTTTATTATTATGGATAGGCAAAAGGTCTGAGCTGACATTCTATGGCGTTGAGTTATAACTGTTTTTGATGTTTTGTTTTTCAGATGCACATTATCAGAGGCAACAGGCAAAGGTTACATGTCATGCAAACTAGATAAATAACTCTTTATATGTACCTTTGCTATAAAGTTAATCATCCACTGGCAATAATGTAGTGCTCTTAGTTAAAAAAGGAAAGAGGAAAAATATACATACAGTATGTAAACAGTCAAAGAAATTGCACTTTCTTGGCTTGTTATTAGAAGCCACACTACTGAAAGAGAGCAGAAATTTAACACTGGAAAAACTAACTCACTGTCACTGATTGTCTGACCAATTTAAAAAAAAAAGTACACTCAGCTAAAAAAAAAGACAAATTATGTAATTCTACAAAAAAAAAATCATATACAATCATAGTCAATTTTAAGGAGAAATGTCTGATATATTGGTCAGCTGTATAACTGGTTAAAAACACCTTAGTAAAATGAAAGATTTGATTATTAACCTTTATGTATAATCCCAATAATATTGTCATGTATAGTACTAATTTTACACGCTACTGCTGATAGAAGGAAAACAGGTCTCTCTCTATGTACATTCACATGAAACTAAACGCTTATGGTTACTTCCACTAAGTGGATTAGCCCAATGCTCCTAAGATGAGAACAATCTACTATGCATCTGTACAGAAAAATGACCTCCAATCCTCAAATATTCACAACTTAAAAAAAAAAAACATAACAAAGGAAGTCCTTATATAGTCCTTATCAGAGGAGATATTGCTTTTAAAGACTGCATGAGTTCGCTTAGGTACGTACACAAGACAACATGGCACTTCTACAGAGCATTTGGGGCGAATCAATTCTAGTTTTCATTCCCTTTCCTCTCTCCTTTCTCCCCCCGAGGACATTCTGATTGTCAATGCTCTGAAGCAAAGAGCTAAACATTCTCAAAGGCAGTCTGAAGTAAACAGAAACACTTTTTACCCCTCTCCCTCCCTTCCCCAGGAAGCAATACTGAAAATAGTCAACAATAAACATTCCTATCGTGAATATATTTTATCCATTTCTTTAGCAGACAGTACTCAAGCTCTTTTCTCTTTTTTTTTTTTTCAAAAATAACTTCTTTCTTAAAACCTCATTAGAAATTCTCTTGCAGCGATGCCAAAATTCCTATCACTAAGCCCACCCCCTCCCCTGCCTATTCACTGGTACATAGCAGACACTGTCTTGGTAAAGTGAAGAAAAACCCTAACACTGTCTCAACTATTTCAACCAGCTCACTTCTCCTTGTGTCATTTCCCAAAGGTGCAATATGACTTTGAAAGCCTAACGAGTAAATGAGGGTTCAATTTTGACCTACTTAGGGCCCAGGCTACATTTTTGTTCCCCCGGGCAGCTCGTGAGCTCCTTGTCTCTTGGAAAACTTCAGAGCCGAGATGCTGAGTACTATATATGTTCACTTTCAATCTCCGAGCAATGTCTGTCTTTCCCAGTTTGCTTAAGGTGCTGAAGTAAGAGCGATCAAAGTGTATGTGTGTGCGTTTATAGTGTGTCCACTCAGCATACATACAGTCTTTAGTGTGCTTGTTCATCCAGCACTAGTGCAAATTCATTTCAGCTGGTCTGTTTCTTCCTTTCATCCGAGACAGTCTATCTCTGTTTCTCTCATCCCTCGCCGCTTGGACAAAAGATGCGTTGCCATGGTTCCATCCTTGGTGTGATGCCCTTCAGAGCGCTAGGTTCAACACACTCATCTGTCAGTGTGTGAGATGTCTTTCTTGCATTTTCAGTCACTATAATTCTCCCCCTCTCTTCTCCTTTTCCCGCTTGTTCTCTGCGGCACTACTACTGTCGGTAGCGGTGTTGTGACATCAGTTCGTGTCCATCTGTCCAGTGGTGGGCCTGGTCCCTTTCTCAGAGTGGTCCCACCTACATAAATGCAAGATACGATCAACAAAACAATGCATATACTTTGCCTCTCCGAGTCATCCCTCTTTCTGTATCTGATGCTCGACTTACCTCCCTCTGTTAGCTTATGAATGCTGCAGGGTCAAAAGTAAATCATTGAGCCGTCTCCTCCTCTGTTCTCTGCTGCAGACCTCTTCTTCCCCTCGTTTTTCTTCCTCTCCCTCCTCCTCTTCTCTGCTCTGGGTTTTGGTGTGCTGCGGTGAACAAGTATGTACAACTAATTGCGGGAGCAGATTTTTATCCTTGTGGAAATTTGCATTCATAAAAGGAATTTTTTTTTTTTCCGTGGGTAGTGTTGTTAACTCACACAGGGGCTGGCAGTGAGCAAGCTGGAGGTGTCCTGACTCTGATGGTGGGGGTCACTGCTGATAACCGTCACCTCCTCCCCCACTGGCTGATCTAAAGGTCAGAGGTCAAACAGTATGTTAGTGAATGCGTTAGAGGAAGAAAAGAAAACAGCACATCATCTCTTTTACAGATATATCTGTAATTATGCCAGTGTCCTTATTTTCCCTTGATTCCTATCCGCAATCAGTCAGGGAGCCTTTGATGGAAACTGTGTGGTTTCACTGTTAATGGGGAAAGTTGATGCCTGCTGGGTTGTTGGACACCAGCAGTGGATGACAGAAATGGGGAAACATTTCTGCAGGCTGAAATTCTGTGGTTGGAAAACTGCTTAGTTTGTGCTGTTGAGTATGATATGGAGAGACAAGCCAAATATGAAGATGACGGGCTGTGAGCAGAGCACACACACACACACACACACACGCGCACACATGCATGCATACATATAGTAAAAGACACCAACACGGGACACAAAAGGAAGTCTATACAGATGTACGGTAAAAATGAAAATGTATAGAGTTCAACCACGTACACGTATGCAAACACAAACACCTACAGAAACAAAAACTAACACACACACTTGCTTCATGGACCTGACTTGATGTGGCTGTCGTCCCCATTGGCTCCATCACAGGACAGACGTCGTGAGTCGCCCCCCTCCCCCTCCGCGTCTCTCTCTCTCTCCCTCTCTATCCTCAGTCGGATCTGTCTGTCTCTCACGAGCTCCCAGTTCCTCACGAGGAACACGTGGTGTTTCACCACAAAGCTCCTGGCCCGGCACACGGGGAGAAATATTAAGTGACATTAGTTCAGTAACAGCGCATCAAGTGGTTTATCTTGAAATGTGAATCGCTGTGTTCTTTCCATACCTCTCACTGCTGGTCAAAGGCTCCATGTCGAGATGAGGGAACAGGCTGGTGATGTCACTAGAGCTCTCTTCCTGCACAATAAAAAACAAATGGAGGGAGTTAGTTTTAGACTTTTAGAGAGCAAACTATTAAAAGTTACATTCTTGACCGGCACAAAACAACCTCAAACCACATTAACTCACCGCCATCTGGTGAGAGGAAACCGTCCTCTCCTTCAACCGGCCTGAGTGAAACAGTGAGAGAGAGAGAGAGAGAGAGAGAGAGAGAGAGAGAGTAAGATATTGTATGAGGATACTGACTGGATCCATCAACTAAACCGGAAGATAACACATCTAATACTGGCAACTCACAGTAACGTCGCTTCCTCTTCAGTGGGACAGCAGGCTGCCTGTGAAGCTGCCACCAAACAACAGGAGAATTACATCCGTGTATATTTGTAACAAAATCTATGCGTAATACTCTCCTCTCTCTGTATAATGGGGCACTACTATACCTGGTTGTGCTGCCACAGCCACATAACATCATAGGGTAACTGGAAATGAATCCGCTTCAGCCTCAGGTATTTCCCTAGAGGACACAAAGGCAGTTTAGATGGACGGACACAGCTACAACAAAGAACAGCAGTGTTTGCATTTTCTTATACACTCACCAACATGTATGGGAGCAGGTAAAAGGGTGTACTCGTGCTCCCCTGGTGTGTACTCCAAACTCTCTCTGCATATCTGCTGGGCTTGAGATGGGGGGCTAGGAAATACACACCGTACATAAATAAACACGAAACCTGATAACAAAAGATGTTCTCATAGCTTGTTTATGAAATCTATCAACTCACTCTGTAGTCTTGTAATCATCCGAGTAAAGACCTGCCATCAGAAACTTCTTCCTGGGAGGACCATCTGCTCTCTCCTCTCTTTGGATGGTTACTGGTTGGGACGGAGCCTGGTCCACATCTGATTGGCTAAAGCATTCAGGGGGGGTGTCACACTCAGGTTTATCCACGGCGACACTAAAAGGAAAGCATGAAGAGAGAGATAGAATGATAGAGAGGAAAAAGAGAAAGAAAGAAAAGGCACTGGTTTAGCACACAGTGCTGAAAACAATAGGTTAATATAGCAATAGTGAGTGGTTGTATTGAATTTTCAAATCAA